CAATGGCTGCTGACACTCGTGACATTTCCTCCATCACAATGACATGATCGAGGTAGCCCAATCCGGTGCCTCCATATTCCACTGAAGGAGATGTAGACAGTAAATGCAATTAAAAAACCTACAGCAGAAAAATGCAGCCTTCAGTCCATGCTTAGGTAAGAAAAAATAAACATCTTCCCTAATGGATCATCAAAATTGTATGTATGTAACTGTAATGCAACTGCTTCTACATATAGAATGAGTGCATTTCCCTCCAGCTGTCTTACCTGGAGCAGTCATCCCAAGGAATCCCATCTCCCCCATTTCCTTCCAAAACTCCTGGTGTAGAGAAAACACAAAACATTACCAAGACAGAAATCCTGCTCTAGGCTTGATGATAATTCTACATGTGGATTGACACAACTCCAATACGAGATCCAGCAAAGCGGGGGTGTGCACATCATGTTACCATATTCTGAATTATTCAACTAAATCAGGGAACTACTGGTACAATAAAGTGTTTCAACTCACCCTCATTTCTGGAAATTCATTCCGCTTGTCAATCTCATCGGCATGAGGTGCAAGCTTTTCTGCTAAGAATTTACGAACCGTCTGCCTGAGCTGTACGACAGAAACAACACAAACAACGGTCTTTAAAATAACTGATTTGTGTATCATATATCATTATTTTATTAAAAGCACTGAAAAATGAACAAGACTGGCATTTAGTTGCCATTTTCCTCCTTCATCGGACTGCAGACTGAGACACTGATCATCTTTACCTAAGAGCAATTGGAGCCAAACGTGCTGTTTGAGTTCCAGGTGGACTGTCCTAAGCAGAAGGTTACTTTGGAAATGTAATAGGTTACTGATTACAAGTTACCTTATTTAAAATGTAATGTTTACTTTTTCAAAGTAATGTAACTTGTTACATTTAATTACTTTTTTATTACTTTTTAAAATTTCTAATGCATGTTTTCAACTGTTAACCATTTTCAAAATTCAGCTTAAGAGGCAATTTAACGTGCAGACTGGTGGCAAATTCAAACATGAGAACCAATCAAAAGCATCTGAATAGCATCAAACTTTACTTAATGGCTGTGGCTGGAATTGGCAAAGAAAGAAATTGGGCACATTAAAAACAAGCAAAGCAACAAAATGAATATCATTCATCATATAGTTTTACAGAAAATATTCAGATGTAACTTCTAATGTAATCATGGACATTATCATAAGTAACTGTAATTTAATTACAAAGTTTTCCAAGTAACTGATTACAGTTAAATTTATTTTGTAACAAAATTACATGTAAGTGGTTACACCCCAACACTGGTGCAACTGACTGTACAGGTATATTCAACCTCTTAATGGCCAGGACTGAAGGACACTTTCTGCCAATTAAATCCTTTAGATATGAACCCCACCCCCTTTGCCCTCCTCACAAGCCAGCGTCCATTCTCTCTCACTTTTTACCAACAAACCACTAACCTGCTGTCAACCTGGGTTAAAATGATAAATCTTTATTGGGAAGCATGTTTGAATGAGCCTTTCACCCCTCTCACTGTCTAAGAAACATGTCCATGACAGCTTAAGTTATCTCAGGTAAACTTATAACCTGGCTCCAGAGAAAGTATTAGTACTTAAGAATTACTTAGTATAACTTACTTGCTTTAGTGCTTCAATGTGCAAACAAAACTAATATTCAGACTAATATTATTAGTAGCTGGAGAGTGCGAAATCTGTTAGCTAGGTCGGCTAATATTATCAAGGACTTCTTATCTGCGACTGTTGGCTAACGTTATGTCATCACGTCACGTGCACAGCGTCCCTAAAAACAGCCTTCTTTAGTCCGTGAAACCATACGGTTTCACATTAAGCTTTGTTTATGTGATTTAAGGGATGTTTTTTTCTGCACAGACAAGTGAGCTTTGTGTTGCTTGAATGTTAGCTAGCCAGTGTAGCTAACCTGAATCTGCTCGTCGGTGAGTCCGTTCACCACATCGTCCACCGGGATGGCAGCACCGGCGCATCCCCTCCTCGTCACCGCCGGGATGGACAACCTGGAGCACAAGCGGAGAGCGTTTCGGACGGCAAACATGGTTGCAGACTGATAAGGAAAAGGAGAGAAATAAACCTGAAAGAGGTTGTTGACTGACAGACCCCGGGACAGCTGTCCTTTAACAAAAAGTATGAGGTCTAACCTAACTCTGACTCTTTTTCTCTGTCCCACTAACGTCATCCCCTCTTGTCTTTCTTCTTATCGGCTCATTAACGCCACCTGCTGGACTGGCGTGTAGATCAGTACATCAGTTAACTGACCAAAACACACAACCAAGTTTCTCTTAGAAAGTAAATTAAATGAAGTTATACTGTATTTTGTGTCTCTTACAGTGGTGGACTTAACTACATATTTGAAGTACTTCCACTCGAGTATTTTCTTTTCATGCCACTTCCTACTTCTACTCCACTAGTTAAACCTCAGAGGGAGATAATGTAGGCTGTTTTGTGCTCCACTACATTTAGCTGACAGCTTTAGTTACTAGTTACTTTACTAATTAAGATTTTTACATACAGAAAATATGTTTTTTTATAAATTAAACTACAGTTTGTTCAAGTAGTCTACAGCTGAAACAATTAGTTGATCAATTAATAAGTCAGTTGAGAGAGAATGTATTGACAACTAATTTGATCATAAAGTCGTTTAAGTAATTTTTCTTGTAATAACATTTGATGTTTTTCCTTTCAATTATTTTAATAATTTGAATGTATTTTTAACAATGTGAGGATTTGCTGTTTTTCCTTTTAATAATTTGAATTTATTTTTAATAATGCTGAGGTTTGGCCTGTTGGTCAGACGAAACAAGCATTGTGATGGTGTCACTATGGGCTCTGGGTAATTGTGACGTATTTCTCACTATTTTCAGAATTTTTACAAACCAAATAATGTGTGTATGATGTATAATGGGGAAAATTAGCCGCAGATTAATCCATTATGAAAATAATCATATCAGTATATAATATAATATCAGTATATCATATCAATATAATCATATCATATCATATAATCAATCATAACTATTTTCAAAATAGTTCAAAATGAGCTCCACACCAACCAACCAACTACAGCAGTAAAATCCTGCTTTTACATTAATTTAGGGATATGCAACATTTGAGTACAAAACTGAAACAACGAGTACTTAAAACTTGACTTTTTTGACATTCTTAAAAATTATTTCTGATAATATTAACCCACGCTTGTTAACAGAGGCTGAGCATTTTGAGCCCTTGGAGTTTTGAGGGCCCTGGGGCAGCAATACCTGGTTGGCAATTCAACTTTCCCTCACTGCTGTGAAAAATGAGCTTTATGGCACAAATATAAGGTTGCATTATTTGCACAATGTGGCACCTATTTATTGTTTAACTCAGTACTTTATACCTCATTCAGTGCATATTAGCTTTCACACTCATGTTCAAGTAACGAAAAAACATTGCATCCAGCTATGCTTCTAATTATCTATCAATTGGCATACTTGTATTGTCATCTGTCCAGAGAAGGCATGATCTCTTGACGAGACGTGACAACTTCAGCCCACAACAGAGAGGAAGAAGAGGGCAGAAAGATAGAGAAAGGGAAGGGGAACTACAACAAAGTCCGTGCTCTGATTAAGAGAGGGAAGAGGAGAAAGTGTTCATTTAGCCTACAATATGTGTGCAGTAGTGTGTGTGTGTGTGTGTGTGTGTGTGTGTGTGTGTGTACAATTTGGAAAAATTCCCCAACTTAAAGCATATATTCCTAATTGTTTCTCAAAGAAGAAATTTTGGTGAGCTGCTGATATTTTTTTGAATCTGTGTTTGTTGGCGATTTAGTAGTTATTTTTATGAATACAGATTGTTCACTTTTGTTATTTTTTATTTGAGAATAGAAAAGCCGTAGGCCGCAGGGTCAAAGCCTGGTAGCAGGCTGCCGTGGCTGCCACTCTTTTCCCGTCTCACCCTTCATCACTCTTTGATTGTGTATCTCACAAGTCAGCCCACCTTCAGGAGTCACACTTAATAAACCCTATAAACTATGAACCCTTAAATCCACGTCACCTGCTTGATCACACCTTTAGTCCACCTGTCCAGGACTGATGAATGATGTTATACAGGATGCTGCAGTGTGTCAAACAACAATAACTTAATTTGTGCTCACCCATAGGCTAATCTAATAAAAATAAACAAATCAGCTTAGCCAGAATAATTATAGACACATGTAGCCTAAACTTACTGTTGATGCATGTTTTGCTGTTCAGTAATGTAAGGAACATAGGAACAAAAAATTACTTTAAAATGTACTGCATGTATTTCATAATTTCTGAGTCACCACAATGACTGTAACTGTGTATTTAGGTTTTGTCCGATTAGATCATCCAGTTTCACACCATCTTTCCTCTCAGCGCTGACTGTTCCTTGTCAAGAGACCAAGAGACTGTCAGCAGTAAAGCCGCACTGGAGCGTCGCCTCCTGGAATTATAGGCTAATGACATGATAATAACGACTTTTTGAAATTTTAATACTTTCTTTCGTGCTGCCAGATGTCAATGGCGACACGTTTTTATTTAATGTCCAAGTATATGTAGGCATTTTTTATTTTGAAATTACGCACACTTGCACTGAGTTTGTTAGAGATAAAAGATTAGTCCTGTGATCGAAACCCTGTTGGTGTGCATTACACGTAGTTTATTTGTCATTTGAAGTGATAGGCTACAGTTTTGTGTAATTAAACCACAGCTTGAATGTTTGAAAGCTGAAGCCTTAAAGGAAGGTTTATGTAGCCTAGTTGCGTGTCTTTAGGCAGAAACATTTCGATGCAGCAACTAAAACTAAGTAGCCTATTATCTTTGTGTAGCTGATGGCACGCTAAGCACCTTTTGATTTAATGGTTGAATGTAGGGTTATGTTAATGTCGTAGATCAGCGCGAGAAAAAAAAACTTGTCAGCTGGTTTAAATTTTCAGTCAGGAAGCGAGAGATGCAATGCGGAAGATAATAAACATTTCTCCATTGTACAGTTGTGTGAGTGAGTGCGCGTGTCAAACCGCGTAGAAGCGCGAGCCACGCCGCGACCAGAGAGGGGTTCCCCTTTCCAACAGAGCAGGGAGGCTGACAGAGGCTCCTTAACGTGTGAAAACTCGGACAACTAACAACCAGAAAGTACCGCCGTGGATCGACTGAACACCTAAAGTCAAACTGCTTTTCTGAAAGTGAAATGACCAGATTTGAAGGTTAAAGTGCATCTGTTTTGCGCCTCTCGTCGTGCGCTCTCACGACGGATTTAGGTCTCCGATGCCCAAAGAGTGCAGGAGAAAGACCTCCAAGGACTTCGGGCTTTCTGGAATAAACGAGGGGTCGCGTTCAGAGCGGAGAACAGCCGCGAAGTCGTCGCAGATTTGCGATGGTCTCATTCAGAAAGCCGCTCAAATCGCCCCGTCGTCCGCCGCCGGAGCGCCGACTGTGATGGATGCGCGCCGGGTACCGCAGGTAACCATCACCCCGGAGGGAGGCGGCTCCTCCCGGGAAATGCAGCAGGAGGATTGGGATGATGTGGTGGACGGATCCCTGCGCAGGAAGCTGTCCAACTCATCTATCTCCTCTGGAGGGTCCTCCGCTGTGGAGTCCGAGGATGACCTACTCAGTGACAACGAGACCAAAAGCAAAGGCATCATCACGTTAGAGCACCTTGGGGACACCGGAGAAGTAAGATAATGATGTACTAGCCTACAGTCTTCAACATGAGTTTTCATGGGTCCCTGGCGGGTTTTGCAAGGGCTTACCTGCGAATCATTTGTCTGTAGTTTATACCATTTCCTAGTTACATAGTGTAGCCTATAACAATAATTCTAAACATTCTCTGTATAAACACAGTTATATAATGCATGACTAAATCAACTACAGCTAAAGTGCCCATGAAGCATCCTGGGACAAATTGCCGTTCTTGACCTCAAATCTGCATCCCCTATAATTACCCTGTTCCAGCAAAGAGCTGATGTTTTGAGAACAAGAAACAGTGAAGCACTGCACAACATAAAAAGCAGTCAGCAAACTACTTCCTCACATAAGATCTCTGGGATTGATCTGACTGCAGAGAGGAGGCAATTACAGTAGCATTTGTTAAAAGTTTGTTTAGTTGATTTTTTTATTCCCATAAACATGTCAAATAAGTGAGTTCTCTCTTGGAATTTTTTTTTTTGGTATCATTTCTGCACTTTTTTAAATCATAGATTAAACAACCTTAAGATCCATGTCAGAGAGGGCAGGACAATCTCCAGGAAATCTGATTTGTCCCCCATTGAAATCACATTATCTCTCCTTATGTTTAATGGGTTATCAAAGCCTTTCACATCACCCTAATGATGCCAGGCCTAACCCCAACTGAAACCAACACGAAGAAGCTTGCTCAAAGTGGCAAGCTGTCAGAGTCGTGCTTTTCTTCCACATCATTTTGTTTACTGCCAATTATCTTCGTGATTTAACATTTGAAAAACACAAGCAGTCCCTTTTTTAGTATTCTTAGTGGCATCTTTTAATATAAATAATGTTGTGTCTTTTTTCCCCCACAGGCTCTTAAGGGTGTAGCTCATAGCCTACGCATTAACAATAATAAAAATGCTTCTGTTGTATGTTAAATGTCAGTTCAACAAGTCCTGTAAGTCCTGACCTTTAACACCATCATTCCCTCGGCAGGACACACCTTTAGTTCAATAGAAGGTGGAAATTTGTTTGCCTATGACATTCTTGGCTGATAAAGCTTCACTTGTAGCCAAGAAGTCCCAGTCTTATTAAACATGCATTGCACATGCATTCAAATAAAGCTGTTTTATTCCCTTCAGAAAAATCTGATAGTCTACATTTCTATTTGAATTGAACATGTTATTTTTTGCAGCTGTAGAGGTTATACTCGATCATCATCTCATCATGTGATTTTGCAGAGAAGTTGAGTGTGATCATATTGGGTCACCTCCTGGTTTCTTTAGTCAGACAACATAATCTGCTTTTTGTGTACAGTGTCACCACGTTACACTCAGGTTCAGACTTTTCATTGGGTGTGTCTTTTTATGGCACTGCTACCCCTCTCTGCCTTCTCCTTACAAGGTCTGTAGCTGTCACTTTCTTTTAAACAGACTGAATACACATTGCCCATTAAGCGTCTGTGTGTGTGTGTGTGTGTGTGAGAAAGACATAGTGTTGGATATGTCTCACTATTCCCTGAACACAACATTGTCCAATCAAGTGAGGCTAGGTATGAAGGCTTTACCAAAGTAAAGGTTTGCTGTTTATCAGCTCTTTCAGGCGGCATAACATGAAATATGCTGGCCATGTCACCTCGGAAAATAGCCACTTTTTCTGCTTCTGCCTCTTCAGCCCCTTCAGCCCACTCATACGCCCACCTACCAACACACACAGTACAGCACAGGCTGCATATCATTGTGTAATCATTTTTTTTGTGGTCAGTAGCCAAATTAGACCTTTGACATTTAACAAAGAACCACTTCAGGAAGTCAAAAACACTTGTTTATCAGTACTTAGCTTTTGGGAGTTCACACTTTAATGCATGTGTAATACAGATTAGTTATTAATTAACATCTGAAAATCTTGCAGTGGTTTACATTTCATTAGCACTTAAAGATGACAATACAGCTTCACACAGAAGGCATGAGTTATAACGGCTAGCTACCAAAAACTGGTTGAGTGAGTCACATCGTCTCACAGATGTTGTACTCAGTCCCTGGAAATGCATTTTTGGAAACTGGTAAAGTTCTCTTTCCGTGGTCTATGTTCGCAGCATTGCTATCGACTACTATCGACCGGCATTGGTGCTGTGTCAGTGTGTCATACACCCAACAGGCCCGGTGTTACAGAGAAATGGTGGGTCAACAAGCAGAGAGCAAACATTAGGCTAATCCTAAAAATATTTTCATTTTCATTTGTGAAAGTAAACAAAATTGTACTGCCCTTGCATGGATTGTGAATGTATATTTACTCAAGTTCTGTACAATTTTTAGGTTCTTCATTTACTCAAATACTTACTAAGTATTTTTATTGTGTACTTCCGCTTCACAACATTTCAGAGGGAAATACTGTGCTTTTTAAAAAAACATTTATTTCACAACTATAATTACCAGTTACTTTTAAAATTAAGATTTTACGTGATACAATGCATTGTTATGGATAGTGTTTCTATGAGTTGTTAGCAGTGCAAGGCCCAAACAGGTAAAATTATTCAAGAATATTTCACAAAAACAGATTAGGGAAAATTCCCCTCAAAATGAATACAAATATTCTTCTTTCCTGCCCCATTAATCATTTCACAACCCCTCAGATTTATCTTTATATAAACTACTACACATAGACTGTACAGTAGCTAAAGTACAGTAGCTCCACCCTGACCTGTAGAACCTACAACAGTAAAATTCTATAAAGATAGATGCATCAGTACCAACAATCTAATAATGCCATACTTATTTGATAATTTATATAATATAGAGTACTTTTACTTCAGTACTCCATTACTTGGAGTATTTTTACATTGTTGTATTGGTACTTTTACCAGGTAAAGGATCTGAACACCTCTTCCACTGGCAGCTTCTGTGTTTTCTTGGACAATAGTATATAGTAAGCAGACTTGCTAAGTCAAAAATGAAAGCAGTGTTATCAGTATGAACTCTTGTGGTTTCTGTCATCATGGTGTGAGTAACATGACGTTTCAAAGTCAGACTACGTGTAAAATGTAAATATTCTGCAGGGTTGTCATGTTTCCATCATAACTCAGAGTTCAGATCTAACTTTCCATTGGATGAGACGTTACACCACATGACCCCGTCTCCACACTCCACACTTTATTTCAGTCAACTGACAATAAAGATAAAGACTTGCAGCAATAAAATAAATGCTCGTTTGTGGGAGTCTTAAGACCTTCACATGCGATATTATCAGTAAACAAGTAGCACTGGAGTAAGTGAAGCGTATCACCTGACATTTAAGAGAGACTGGCTGATGCACAGTTCTGCTATTAGTGAGGACGGGGAGCTGTGAGACACTCAAGCATGAGCTGAGTGTTTCACTAACACGAGAGTCCCTGTTTCATTTCCTGTTTCCATCAGAACACACAGAATAAAATGACCTCTCCGAAGCATAAAGATAGGATCATGAGAACATGTGCTGCTTTTCCTTTCCAACGCCTGGGAGTTTCTTTATTTGGTTTCTTTTCCTCATAGTTAAATTTGAGATGAGTGTATAGAAATATAATCCTCTTAGTGTTAAAGTGGGCACTATTTGAGACATGGTCAGTTCTCTGGGAGGGAATATAACAGGCAGTTCCCCATAAGTGAGAAGCACTACTGTGTCTCTGTGAAATATGCAAGCTGTTACTGTGTTTTCCTGTGTTTTTTTTTTCTGTGTGTGCGCATAGTGAGAGACAGAGAAAGAGGGAGAAAGTGTGTGGTGGGAGGAGACAAACAAACAAACAACTTTGAAAAAAAAAAACATCTCTGCCAAGAAAAGATAATTCACTCGTCACAGCCATCTTTTCTTTTTTTGTTTTTGTTTTTGTCTTTGCTCAGGTTTCAGTGCATACTTTAATTTGGTCGTATGACACCAAGAAATTCAGACGTCGCTAACAAGTGAGTGGGAGTTGAGAGGCCAGCAGCAAGGGCAGCGTCAACCTTGAGTATTCCTCAGATTTCCCCTTGAGATATGGCAGTTTGACCAAAGATGAAGAAATTATACATGCTATTCAATTATTCAGTGTGAATATGCTACTTCAATATAAAAACAACATAAGCAGGAAATGCATTTAGCTGTACATTCATGCTGTTAGATAGTAGATTTAGACTCTCTGTGAATCAGTGTTGGAGGCCCGTCACCACACCACTCTGGAGATGCTGAATAGAGATGTTGAGTGCAGATATGAGTTTCCACAGAAATGGCATTTTACTGACCTAGATTGGAGGTTTCACACAGTGGAAAACCAAAAGCCTGGCATCAGATTTGGGTAGAATTGCTTATGTGATCAGATTTCTATTCAGACAGTATGGGGTGGACCAAGGTTCAGTGACCTTACAGCACTTCTCCTTGTTATCAGATCTTTTATGTGAGCAAATGTACAGAGAGAGCCAAAAACCTCTAATCACTTCTGTTTGTTTTCCTTCTTTTCAGAGCAAGCCGTGGTGGAAGTTAAAGACGATCGTCCACTGGCCCTTTAGTGCTACCCAGAGGAGAAAACTGAGCTGGGTTCAGCTAGCCGGGCATAAAGGTATGTCCTGTTCAGACCATCACATACTGTTTCTGATGCACTGTAGATCCCCGACGGAGAAATCTGATGTCCTGTTTGGTGTGCAGTCTTTGATATAACACGTTTCTTTTTAGTATTTTGTTGTATCATTTTTGTTGTGTTGTTCAAATTGTCTGACAGATTTATGGAATGGGAAAAATGGAGGATAAGAGGTCACCACACCGACAGGGATTAAAACACTTTAGCTTGACGAATGCTTGCTGTCATGGATGATGATGTTAGACCTATTGTTTCACTGTCACACAGTCTCACCGCAAGAGACACAATCACTGAATTCAAAAGAACTGACATGGCCTAGCCACATGTCACTGGAAGTAAGAATAATTTGCAGCCCGAGGCCCAAAAGTTTCCTTGGATTCTAACATATAGAAACTTTATTACTCACTGGCAAAATCAGGTCTTGTGTCTTCTCTTCCCTCCTGTTCGTGAATGCTCAAAATCCCAAAATACTTGTCTTTATCTGATCCCAGGTAACTTCAAAGCAGCAGACGAGGGCACCATCCTGAAGAAGTTCTCGGAAAACGAGATGCAGTGTTTTGAGAAGCTGAGGGATGACGCACTCCTACCGTTTGTGCCCGGTTACCACGGCACTGTGGAAAAAGATGGAGAGACTTTCCTTCATATGACTGACCTGCTGGCGAACTTTGACCATCCCAATGTCATGGACTGCAAGATGGGAGTGAGGTAAGGAAGTAAGGTATTCATTTAGTCATTTTTATCCATGGTCTTTTCTATACAGGTACTTGTGTCAAAAAGGGAAATTTCTTTGTAGCATAATTCTGCTACACTAAGTGCAAATTTGAAATGACTATGACATTGTTTATTGATGTGTTTGACATTTATGGTGTTGGTCTTGTTCTGTGGAAACTGATTAATGAGACATGTTAAGACTGGTGACAGTACGTTATGCCTGAAGCCTTTTTGCTTTACAAGGGAACACCTGTTGTAACTGCAGGCTATATGCTTGGCTTCCTGCCACAGCGGGTGGGGTGCCTCGCTGTATCATATGCACAGACACAAATACACACACACACACACACACACACACACACATACATACACAAACATACATACACAAACACAGGCAAACATACATACATATATGCATGAAAGCACACATGAATGTATACATGCACATGTTGATGCATGCACAGGCATGCACGCACGGACATTCACCCCTCTGAGAGCTTTGTTTCCGGTTCAACAGGCAAATACACATGCACGTGTGCAGGGGATCAGGCACGAACAGACACACACACGTAAACTAAACTTACAGACACACACACTTGAACAAATCTTGTTATTGTCTACAAGTATCTGTAGACAATAACAACTGTCTGTATTTCTGAGGCTACACACACATACACGCAGTCGCTCAGGGTGTCCCTGGAGACTCCCCTTTGTCAAAAACACTCTCAACCACGAAGTTACAAAACCGCTAACTTGCACAAACACACACTCAGATTCTCACACAGTTGAACGCTGCACGCTGGAGTCTCCTCTCAGCTTCCCTCTTCAGCACAGAGGAAGTGTAGCTCACAAACTGAAACTGAAATTCACATCTGTTTGCGCATAACTGTGTGGTATGAAAACGACAAGCGTGAATGTGCTGCTGTACTGTTCACCAGCAGCACTATGTTGCTCTCAGCTGTGCAGTTCAGTTAGCATTTTTATACACTCGTCTTTTCTGTCTGAGTGAACACCATTAGAAATTAGCTTAGCTCTGGCTTTTAGTGCAGCAGAAGAAAATGTATAATAAAATCCTTTGTTAAGTCATTGCTTTAATGTTTTTAGATTGTTAAAAAAGCCCTATGGATTTTTGTATTCAAGAGAAATATACTTTATCACATTGGTTTCATTAAAATAACAGTGTGCTTTTGTTAACTATGTATCTTAATAACTAAGGGAGCAAATGCAAGACAAATATTGAAAGTAAACAACCATTACTTTTTATTTACATGCAGAGGACAGACTAGTCTGTAAACGCACAGGTCCTGCACCTGAATAAGCTGTTCCTCCTGCTGTTTCAGGACGTACTTGGAGGAGGAGCTTGTCCGGGCGCGGGAACGGCCCAAGCCGAGGGAGGACCTGTACCGTAAAATGGTGGAGGTGGATGGCGATGGGCCGACTCCCCAGGAACATTCCCAACGTGGCGTCACAAAGCCTCGCTACATGCAGTGGAGGGAGACCATGAGCTCCACCAACACCCTGGGCTTCAGGATAGAAGGGATCAAGGTACGGAGTGACGTGGAACATGTCATTGACAGGATGCTCATGGAGGTTAAATATGAATGAAAATACACTTGTGCAGTTGAACAATGCACTAAAAAAGTAGAATTGCACACATGAGCAATATCCATACATGCTTGCATCCATTACATGGCTGAATTAAAGCTGCTTTACTTATTACTGATCCATAACTATGTTTTCAGTGGTGTATAAAGACCTCACATAATGAACTGTTTTGTTTTTACAATCTTAGAATGAGCCATTTCTATCTACATAACTGCATGTCCCACTTACATGGATGTTGCCATGTTGCACAGCCATGTTCCCTACAGTAGCCCAAACTGACAAACTCTACAGAGCGCATTTCGTCACTATGTTCTTCTTGTTCTACTTCTGGTAGAATTCAGGCAGTGTAGACACTCATCACTTTGTTGAATATGTATGTTCGAAGAAGAAGAAAAAGTAATAATATACAGCAGGGGTCGGTAAATCAGTTTTGCATCAGAGCAGTGTTTTCATCCGTTAGATGGGGGTGAAAACATAGGACATAATATTTAAGTTGAATGTTACAGATTTGGTTAGCTCAGTTGGTTAAGCGCAAGACTCTCACCTAGATGGCTGCGTGTGAGAATTATTTTCCCCCTCTTCAAGAATTTGATTATGAAGCGACTGTTTCCCATTCCCATAATAAAGCATGTGCTGCAGTGTGTGCTATCCGGCTTCAATCCGCATCCATCAACATACGGACGCCTTTTCATTTCCCCAGTATTTTTAATGTCAATCTGAATTTTTCAAAGCAAAAGCTCTTAATCAACTCGAAATAAAGCATTGCTGCAAAAAAATCTTTCTTGAAAAACCACCAAAGAGGAAGTGATTACACGACTAACTGTTGCTGTCTTGACTGAGATCTATTTCACCTATCTATGTCAGCTATCAAAGTATTTATCTATTTTTATTTTTTGCCACTATCAAAGCACCATTATTTGACCATGGGCCAGATGTTATTGCTGGTGGGCAGTTTTGGTGAGGGTCCATAATCACAGAGAGAAGTAACATGTTTCCCTTGTCAATGTAAAATACCTTTGTATAAACTTATATTATCTATCATCTATCTATGTGGCTTCTAATGGACTGTGGTGCAGAAACAGAGACAATGTTTCACACTCTCGGCTTACATTTTACATGTTATTTGTCTGTGGCCAAGTCGCAATAATATATGGTTTTACCGAATAATTAAGTAAATATAATTTCTTAATATATATCTAAAGAAACCTAATTTCTTGACTGGCTAATCTCTGCTGTCTCAGAAGACGACACCTTCTGTCCGGTAGAGATGCCACTAAATCTTATACACTTAACCTTATAATATTTTTTACTAGGGTTTTTCATAGAGACAAATAATCACCCTACTCTGGAGTTTCCTTCAGCTTTATGGAGCATTTTGATTTAGTCTATTCTGCATTTAGCAGTTAAAGAGTAAATATTTTCCTCAGGACTTGGTAGAGACCAAAATAAGGCTAAAATTAGAGTGAATATTGGAATTAACATGAATTGGGTGGCCAGAAACACAACTCCAAATTAATGCTAATCTTGCTTTGTGTCTACTGGATGTGTATGAAACTGTTTGCTTAGATGTTCACCATATCATCTTTATCATGTGATGTTTTATTTATAGCTTGTTGTGCTACCAGCAAGCAGCCTGTCTGTCTGTCTGTCTGTCTCTTGACTTGTGCTGCACAATCACAAAATACACGATCAAATATACTGTAGGTAAATGATTTGGTTAGAAGTCATTTTATTGTTTAATATTTGCACTCACGCCCTTTCTCCTTGTTTAGAAATGTGACGGTACGTGTCGGACTGACTTCAAGAAAACCAGATCGAAGCAGGATGTCATCCATGTGTTCAAAGACTTTGTTGGAGGGAACGTCAACATTATAGTACGTGGCAATCTCTTAGCTTCTGCACCAATATTTGCAGTATATTCAGGCATGTAAGGACACACACAAAACATACATATTTTGTATACTCAGTCATTACATTTGGAAAAGGTTTGGGGCCTTTTCAAATGTATTATCAGTCTAATAATAAATGAAAACAGCCTCAGAGTGTTTGAACTACAGGAAGAAATTCCACCTGCATTGCACAAAGCAAATATTTACGCTGTAGCGCTGTTTGAGTTTTCTGTTTATATACTGTGTCTGTATCCACACCCTGTTATATTACAACTATAGCTTCTGACATATGGATTCAGATTAAAAAATTCAAAACTAAATAATGATCTTCAAGTAATGTTAGCTCAGCTGTCACGAAGATGTTATTTAAAATACGCCCATCACTGTTTTTTCTTGAAACGCAGACGTCTTACCTGAGCAGGCTGACGGAGATCCGGCAGGCCCTGAAGACATCAGAGTTCTTCAAGCAGCACGAGGTGTGGACTGATCTAAAGATGAGTGACAAATTAAAACAACCTTAAACCGCCAAAGTAAACTGTAGCAGCAGGAACTTCATCTGAAACTGTTATCATGACCAGATGTGTTCAATTGATTTTAAAATGGATGTGGTTGAACATTACTCCTTCATAAAAGTCATATTGGTGAACTGATTTCATACAGTTAAACAATCACTAATATTTCGGTGGATCAAGTTTGCATAGTGGCTGAAGGTAGACATAAATTTTAGTTATTTCAATCATTTATCTCTTAGTTTTAGCTAAGTATTTCAATAATTTATCCATTACTTTTTGCAGTTTCAACTGTTTGTTCATTACTTTCAACTAACTATTTAAACCTCTTATCCTTTACTTTTAATTTAACTGTTTAGACCTCTCTATTCAGTTTTCACACACTCCCAATCACAACACTTAGTGTTCAGGGCCCGTGTTTATCAAGCTTCTCAGAATTACTCCTACGAACACTGCTAAGAACTGACTTAAGAGTAAAAAAATTCTTGGCTCAATGTTGTGCTTAAAAGTTAGTTATCAAGCATCATAGTCCTAATGTGAGTAAAGTGTAGGACTAAATCTGAAGTGTCAGTTTTAGTGCACTTTGCTGTGCCGCAAACAGGATTTTGGATGACGATGTAGCCGAGGACCAATCACTGAATAGATTTCCTTATTTAAGAATATTCTCAGATAAATTCACATTGAATGGTGAAATTCCAAAGAGGAGTTTATATTCAACACACATTTAACAATAAAGAATTTTCAAGATAATACATTATGATATCCCGCGACCCTGTAGGCTACACAGGATAAGCGGTTGACGATGGATGGATGGATGGATAGACATTATGATATAGGCCTACACATTAATAAATGAAAGATAAAAAAGTTCATCTTTATATGAGCACCATCAAATGCGCCTATTACTCCTGTATTGCCGGCTATTTGCATGAACTTTGTTTGCTACGGGGGGGTGTTGTTGGGAAGTTGATGAAACGCGTGACAATGTGTGGAGCTGTAGCCTAAGTGCTATAATTGTTTCCATGACTATTTGGCTTATTGATGGTTGTGACGGCCACAATCATCAGCAAGCTGCTTTTGTCCTGTGGCAAATAAATGAAGCATCATCACAACCTTCAATTTAACTGAAACGCGCTGTGTAAAGTCAGAGGTGAGATGACGTCCCTCACCAACTCGCTTACAAAGTTTATGCCTGACCCCTATTAACTGCGCGTCGTCGAATAATTCAGAATCATTCTTCCTCTCCTGAAAGATGCATTTCTCTGTCTCCACAGTGCCATCACAAGCCCCTACTGGAAATTTGATAACTTACTTTTATTCTTAATTTAAAAGTAGGAGTAAATTTCATGAATTCTCAGCACTTAAGACTGAAGTGGCACTTTGAGAAGCTTGATAAATACCGGCCCAGAATTACAGTGGACTCAATATATGCTCTACAATCTTTCCACATATCCCACATAACTGCTAAACCACCTCCTGGGGTAGTAGCAGCCCCATGTGGGAATCACTGCTGTATGGAAGCATCTGTATGCATTACTCATTATTCAGGGTTTTCCTTTAATTTGTCACCCATCTGTATATTGATTGATGGATAAATAGAAGCCGAAAAAGTAAATGCTATTATGAAACCCTTCTTGTTTTTCGTAGGTCATTGGCAGCTCTCTCCTCTTTATCCATGACCACACGGGCAGTGCCCAGGTCTGGATTATTGACTTTGGCAAGACCACAGCCTTACCAGTGGGCCAGACGTTAACCCATGACATTCCCTGGCAGGAAGGCAACCGGGAGGATGGCTATCTGTGGGGGCTGGAAAACCTCATCCACACCCTGGAGTCTGTCAACAATGAAGGGACTAGCGAAGAAACCTTTTGCTCAGTTATGAAAGAAAATAGCCAAACTACTGAAACAGATGGTCAGTGACTTTTGACTTTTAGACTTGTGAGAGGAACTCTAGCCAATTTAATGAACACCGCAGAGAGACGTTGGGAGATGTTTCATATGTTGATTTGCTTTGGGCGCTCTATGAGAAATATTGAAAAGAGTACAGAACAGGAGCAGAGAATTTGTCACTAGTTTATGAAGGCTTGAGCAAAAGAACTGACACTAATTCAACTTCCTACAAAATGAACCGAAGTGAAAGTGTAGGGCCTCATTTCATTTTCAGGGATGGGTTATATTTGAAGGAAATGCTCATGAAATGCGAATTAAAACAAGGAATATGTTAGCAATCACAAATCACAAACCTTATTACCACTGAACCCTCAGCCCTGATGTTGCATCTGTAAGTGGAATATTAAAGCATAAATTCTGTGCAGTATGAAACTCTGACTGGGTCACAGACCTCATAGTCATATAACTACAATACATAACACATCAATATACTGTAGTACTGCAGTGTATAATCTGTGTCACTATTTTGATAAACTGTCTTTTATTGTATATCCATTTATATTTCTTTCACTGATTTTATTGCTTGAATCAAACTTTAATTTAAACTTTAAAATTTAAATTAAACTTTAATTTTCATTTCTTGTGCTGTTGCAGAGCATGTTGGATACTGATGCTGCAATGTCTGTTATAGCATGTTCTTCGGTCCTGGTCAGACATGTTCTGCAAATGAAGTGAATGAAAATGTATAAAAAATTAAAACAGGAAAATGCTGTTATTTTTTATTTTCCATTGTAAAACACTATTGTGGTATCTTAAATATGTTAGCCAGAGCTGAGTTTACTCATTTTCATTTTGTACCATTTAACCAAAACTGTTAAACTGATCAAAATCACACAAATAAGAGCAATATATGTTGATTTATTTGGGGCACAGATAGGTTAAAATAAAGTGTGAAATACAGTATTTTGCATAGAATGCATTTTTGGTTGAGGCATAACACCCTCAGCTACATAAAGTATGCAGAAAAATAACTACTTTTCAGTGAGTGTGAAATAAAATGCACCAGGCTGTAAAAAGTGAGCAAGACGAGGATTATTTTCTTTAAAAGAAATTCCACAGTAATCAATATTTCTAAATGACATTAACGTTTTCAGAAAAGTATGTGAACCTTTTCTAAAAGATGTTATTTTCAAGTGGACTGTTGAGAAACCGAGATAAACACTCACTAACATCAGCAGTCCCATAAAAACATACAGTAAGCCTATATAACCCTAAATGTAACCATTCATTCAAAAACACAATAAATCGACATGGTTAGGCTCAAAATAAAGACACATATCGGATACAACTACCAACACAATTAAATAAGAGTAACTTGAAAACATAAATACTGAATAGAGATGTTCACAATTGAATCTTTTTTAATGTATGAACTGAGATACCTGCAGCAGCATGTTTGGTATATCAAAGCTGAATACCTCCACCTGCTGAGTAAACATAAGTACTACCAGCACTACGTCAGTAGATGCAGTGTAGAGGTATCTAATGGCAGTGATCAACTACAAATATAGAACAATCCATCATTAACATAAATGAAAACAAATAAAAGATAAAACAGGTACAAATGCAATGGGTTAGTCCAGTGTACAGAAGTGAGTACAAAAATAGCTAATATTTTCACAGCTGCATGGTCATCATCCTCAACGTCTATTCATTGATGAGACCTGCAGTTCGAGTTAATATTGGGGAATAGAGTGAGAGAGCCTGGAATAGTCAAAAATATGGTCAAAAATATACAAAGCCAAATCGTGATCTATGTAGTTTGGCAAAGAAATCTCCACTTACAGAACATTCAGATCTTACCACAAGCCATTCAACACCTTAAGGGAATAGTTCATCAATACCACTCTCATGTATGCACAGTAAACTTAAAGCTACAGTCAATAGCCAGTTAGCTTAACTTAGCACAAAGACTACACGGGGGAAAAACAGTTAAGCTGGCTCTGCCCAAAGGTACAAATATCAGATAGCACCTCTAAAGCACAGTAAACACATTATATCTTGTTTGTTTTAAGCCGTACTGAAACCAAAGTGTAAAGTGTGTGTAAGTGGGTTTATTAAAAGGACTGTTTCTTGCCTAGGAGAAGTGACTTTCTGGAGTCTTGTCTTCAAAGTGAGGTTTCCAGGAAACCAGCAGTGACTGACCAGACCAAAACCTGCAGCATCAACTGGGAAGAAGTCAAAGTCACTGACCAGGAGTCAAGATTCACACTTGACACCTCAGACCATCCTCAAACAAAAAACAGGTTTTATGACTTCATGTGTACGACCGCTTCATGTGACCGAAATTCCACAATGAACAAAACCATCTCTATAACAACTGAGCAAACTTTATCTGCTGCTGGAAGCTTTGGAAAAAGACCAAGTAAGTCGAGTTTAGCCAAACTGCTGTTTCCAAGGTCAAGAATGAACCGATGTAGAAAATATATGTTAATGCAGTGTGTTGGACGTCTTCACATTATTTAGGGTGAAAAAATTATAAATGAAATAGTTTTAGTAGCTCTATCTAATTTTAAAATGAAAGATTTTTGGCTTGTTATGGTCCTACTGTACACTGAATACTACAAATTCCAATAAATTGTTTACTATATTGCAACATACACTACTGGCAAAGCTTTCATGAAAAAATCCAAAACAAGTAGGTAGAAAAGGAGTCCATTTACAGCAGTTATTTATGGCATCCATCACCAGCCATAGAGACATTAGGAAAGCGCAGGGCTGCGTGCCGTGCTGTGTTCCAGCTTCAGTGTTCAGCTACCAGTGTATCAGAAGCCCAGGAAGGAGCTCTGAGTCCAGCGTTGACTCTCTATCACAGTGCAGAGGAGTGTTTGTGTGTGTTTTCCAGCATTCCAGGAGCTCTAATAATTTGATGTAGTGGCTCTCAGACAATGGCGGGGCCCTCGTGGTCATGCTTTTCGTTCCAGAAATCTCTAGTTTCAGGTTGTGAGAAAAAGGAGCCCATTTCATTTTAATATCAGTCAAAATCCCTGCGACCATTTCTTAGATAGGGGTAACACTGAGGTCTTCAGACAGAGAAAAGCCTGAGTCTCGGTCGCGTGTTGGTTTCTCGGCTTTAGTGTGTCTCCTCACGTCCTCGTGTCCGTAGCTGGCGTGGCGCTTGAGCAGCAGCTTGGGCATACATGATGAGGATGTATACGGGCCTAACGCCTGGCTAGTCCCTGAGGAGACACTGGGGGCAGAGCTGGTGTTTGTGATGGCTTCTGGGGCTTTGGGCATAACCAAGGGCAGGTTCTCCGCCTCGTAGCTTTGCTCATCGTAGGCATAGTTGACGTTGCCACAGGGGAAACTCTGGAGCTTAGCCAGGTCCATGCCAGCTTTTGTGGTGCCACCTGTTGGGTTCTTTTGGGAGGACGTGCTCGGGGCAGCTTGAGCCTGGCAGAAAGGGGATGGAGTTGAGGAAGTGCAGAGACTGGAGGGGCTGAGATGGGCGCTGTCGCAACCAGCCTTGTTGCTCTCTAAGGTTATGTTGCAGGTCTGAGGAGCCTGTGTATTGGAGGCGGAGGAAGTGGAGCTTGAGAGTGGCATGGACTGAGTGTGAGCAAGTGTTTTCTTCCCCCTGAAGTTTTCTAAAACCCAGGAGCCATATGTGGGGTTCCACAGGTTCTTCGTCTTGTTCTTCAGCCTTTGGCTCCCTGAGGAGGAGCTGTTCCTGGAGCAAGGTCGGTGATGAGGAAGCTCAGGTTGGAGCCAGTGGCCTCCTGCGGGGGCTGGTACGGGCTCAGCCCAGGACGGCTCCAGAGCCTCACAGCATGACGTCACTTCGTGGTGGACAGGTTGGGTTTTCTGGAGGAGCAGACGGGGTTTGGTAGGCTGTGGGGGAAGAGGGGCCGGACCCAGGCCCAGAGAGGAGAGACCCAGCTGGGAAGAAGAATCCTGGGAAACAGGACGGGACACCAGGAGTGGAGTGAGGCTGGTGGAGGTGTGGTCAGAGGGACGGAGCACTAAGCCACCATCGTCCTCTGAGGTGGGGCCATATTCCACAGGTAGGGCTGTGTTGATCACATCTGGGTCCTGATACAGAGTCGTGAAGCGGAGAAGGGAAAATTAGGAGGAAGCAAAGAATGAATGAAGGGAGAGTAAATTAATATTACATTTATAAAACAGCCATTTTATCTATCTACAGACATGTGTGTTATAAAGTATACCTGAGAGCAGTAGTTAATTCTCTCCAGGATAGTAGAGAAGTTGGGCCGGTGCTCGGGACAGTGCTGCCAACACTGGGTCATGATCCGATAGCTACAGATTAACAGACACAAAATCCAGATTTATTATGCAAGCTCTGTGTATAAACGATCTTGTAAATGTGGTATAGTGTAGTGAAAAGAAGAAAGTTTAATCTATTCCACATCAAAGGTGGTAGACAAAGCAGACTCTGTGCTATTATCGCTAAAAAAGTTTGATGAAAAGTCAAAACAAGCGATTATCTTTCATGGAGCCCCGATCCACACTTTGAAGAATAGTGTTGCGCAAAGAAAAACAAGCTTTTATAAATGTACCTATGATGTTTGCAAAGTCTCCACAGTGAACTCTACAGACAGAATCCATTCAGCATCACCACAGCATTATCTCTTGGTAGACACTCCGAAAATCAGCCTGACACGGCAAAGAAATGGCAAGCAACGCTGACTAACACTGTCCCTGCCGTGCCCTGCATGAATTTTACACCCAGGCTCATCTCTTATGATGTATTTCCTGTCAGTACTCACACAGGCCCCGGACAGCTCTTGGGAGGATCCATCCTGCCTCCGCTGGTGACAAACTCCAGCACCTCTTGGTTGGTTTTACAGGGATACGGCATGTAACCCAGAGAAAAGAGCTCCCACAGCAGCACTCCAAATGACCTGCAGGGGGAGAGACAGATCAACAACTGAGTCGACTCTATCATGTGGATCACATATTGAACCCTGCCCGTCCTCATGTTCCTGAGACTGACCATACAAGAATCACTATATCATCACTATATATTTCACCAAGAATACATTGAAGAGCTGCAGATGTAATCATGCCCTTGCTAAAAGCTGAAATTCACCTCCCCAAAATGAATGACTGTAACATAGACTGTATAAGATTGTAGCCTACAGTATTACTGAGTCCAAAGTTCAGCAATCAGCCATTACAGTGTGGTATTTTAATCAATACAGTGGGCTCAAAAAGTCTATTTCTGTTTATAACATTTATAGAAAACAAATGATATTTTTAGTTAATGGATATTGTTTGGGCTAGATTATATAATTGTTTGTACTTTGATCAATTCTGCAGGTTTTAGCTAAATGGGAGAATCTGTTCTGTTCTGGTAACTGCGTGGATGAAGAGACAGAAGCCAGCACTCATTGTTTTTTCTTTATAGTCTGGGTCACTATCCTGCCGGAAAATGACTCATCTTCCAAGCAACTTAAAGAGAGAAGAAATAATGTGCCTCTTCAGAGTTTAGCAATACTTCTCTGTCCTCAAATTGTAGCTGGCCCTGTACATACTTCCGCCACCAAGTTTGATTCTGAGTTTGATGGACTGCTATATAAATCCGTTGAGCGGCCGTCCCACAATAAATTTTATAACTGCATCTTTTATGTGCAGACTTTTGTCAGGCTTGATGTGTAAACAAAGTGAAATTTGGAAATTGTTTGGCCCACAAAATATTTGACTTTGTCATCGGAAATGTAGCATTCTTTGTTCAGTTGACGCTGTG